ATCACAGAAATTTAACAAAGAGATTGAAATACTAAAAAAAAAGTAGAAATTCTAGAGCTAAGAATTCAATTGACAAACAGAGAAGCACATCAGAGTGTCTGATCAGCAGAATTGACCAAGCAGAAGAGAGAATTAGTAAGCTTGAAGACAGGCTATTTGAAAATACAATCAGAAGAGAAAAAAGAGAATAGATAATAATAAAGCACACCTACAAGATCTAAAAATTAACCTCAAAAGAGAAAATCTAAGAGTTATTGGGCTTAAAGAAGAGGTGGAGAGATTGGGTTAAAAAGTTTCTTCAAAGAAATAATAATATAGAACTTTCCAAACCTAGAAAAAGATATCAATATTCAGGTACAAAAAGGTCATACACACCTAGCAGATTTAACCCGAACAAGGCTGTCTCAACGAAGTTAAGAATCAAGCTCCCAAAGGTCACACATCAAAAAAAAGGTCCTAAGGGAAGCAAGAAAAAAGAAAAAAATACATAAAGGAGTTTATATGTTTCAATACATCTGGTAGCAGACTTTTCAGTGGAAACCTTTTCAGTGGACACCTTTTCAGTGGGCAGGAGAGATTGGCATAACATACTCAAAGTACTGAAGGAAAAAAACCTTAACCCTAGAATATTATATACTGCAAAGCTGTCCTTCAAGCATGAAGGAGAAATAAAGACTTTCCTAGACAAACAAAAGCTGAGGGATTAATACCAGACCTGTCCTACAGGAAATGCTAAATGGAGTTCTTCAATCTGCAAGAAAAGGACATTAATGAACAATAAGAAATCTTCTGAAGGTATACAACTCACTGGTATCAGTAAGGACAAATGCAAAATATTCTATTGGTATAACTGTACTGTCTAAACCACTTACATCTTGAGTAGAAAGATTAAAAGGTATATCTATGAAAAATAAAAGCAACTTTTTGAGAGATATATAGTATAAAAAGATATGGATGGAGACAACAAAAGGTTAAAAAGCAGGGAGTTGTATTTAAAGGATAGAATTTCTGTTAGATTTCTCTTTGCTAATATACGTATTTTTTGTTTGTAAGCAAAGTTGTCAAATGTTTAAAATAACTGGTTATAAAATGTTTTTTGCAAGCTCATAGTAACTTCAAATCAAAAAACCTACAACAGATACACAAAAAGTGAAAACAAGAAATTAAAACACACCACCAGAGAAAATCAGTTTTAACAAAGACAGGAATGAAGAAAGAAACCACAAGAGGACCACAAAACAACCAGAAATCAAATAACAACATAACAGTAGTAAGTCCTTACCTATCAATAATATCATTGAATGTGAATGAAGAAAACTCTCCAATCAAAAGACACAGAGTGGCTTAATGGATAAAGAAGAAAAAAAGAGCCAACTGTATGGTGTCTGCAAGAAACCCACTTCACCTGTAAAGACATACGGAGACTGAAAATAAAGGATGGAAAAAGATATTTCAGGCAAATGGAAACCAGAGGAGAGCAGGAGTAGCTATACTTCTAACAGATAGAATAGATTTCAAGATCAAAAATGTCAAAAGAGATAAAGAAGGTCATTACATAATTATAAAGGGGTAAATTCCACAAGAGGATACAAGTCTAAATATATATGCACCCAATCCTGCAGCACCTGGATATATAAAACAAATTTTATCAGAGATAAAGAGAGAGAGAGAGAGAGAGAGGGATCTCAATATAATAATTGTTGGAGACCTCACCACTCCCCTTCTAGCATTGGACAGATCATCCAAACAAAATCAACAATGAAACATTGGACTTAACCTGCACTGTAGATCAAATGGACCCAATAGATATTCACAGAATGTTTCATCCAACAGCTGCAGAATACCAGCTCTTCTCCTCAGCTCATGGATCATTCTCAAGGGATGATCATATGTCAAGTCACAAAATTAGTCTCAAAAAATTGAAAAAAAATTGCAATCACACCATTTTCTCTGACCACAATGGAATGAAATTAGAAATCATTAATAAGAGGAACATTGGAAAATACACAAACACATGTAAATTAAACAATATACTCCTTAATGACCAGCAGGTCAATGACAAGATTAAAAGGGAAATTCAAAAATTTCTCAAAACAAATGAAAGTTAAAACACAATATATCAAAACCTATGGAATACAGCAAAAGCAGTAATAAGAGGAAAATTTATGGTAGTAAGTGCCTACATCAAAAAAGTAGAAAGCTTCAAATAAACAACCTAATGATACATCCCAAAATACTAGAAGAACAACAGGAAACCAAACCCAAAATTAGAAGAAAAGACATAATAAAGATCTGAGCAGAAATAAATGAAACTAAAAATACAAAAGATAAACAAAACTAAAAGTTGGTTTTTTGAAAAGATGAACAAAATAGACACACCTTTAGCCATACTAAGAAAAAAAGAGACAAGACCCAAATAAATAAAATCAGAGATTAAGGAGGAGACATTACAATGGACACTGTGGAAATCCAAAGGATCATTAGAGACTACTATGAGCAACTATATGCCAATAACTTGGAAAACACAGAAGTAGATAAATTCCTAGGTACACACAACCTACCAAGACTGAACCAGGAACAAATCCAAAACCTGAATAAACTGATAACAAACATAATAAATGTGTGCAGAATCTTTAAGTTTCTATTTGGTTCATCTGGATAGAACTTAGCTAGGGTTTACTTTTTTTCATAAACCTTAACTTGCAAATATGAAATGAAAACCGTGTCTACTTAAATTGCCTTTTACTTATATGTTCAACAAATGGTTTCACCAAGAGAAATCTCAACCAGTAATGCATTTTGAGAAGTAAGTTATAATCTATTATATGGGATGTCTTATTTTGTAAATCAATATTTACTTTCGTTTCTAAATATATTTATCTTCTTAAAGCACCCAAGGAATTTCCGACTGTGAAGTTAGGGGATGGACCACAAAAACTGCCCTTACTTCTGATACCAACTGCAATTTTAGGGGTTCCAAGGCCACCCTCAGATTTGATAATTCACTGGGAAGATTCACAGAACTTACTAAAAGCTATTATACTCACAGGTATGGTTTATTACAGGGACAGGATACAAAACAAAATCAACCCAGAAAGGAAACGCATGGGACAGAGTCTAGGAAAGTAACAAAATTGAGTTTTCAGTCATCCTCTCCCATGGATTCATGGACAGGATTACTTTCCTGGCAATGATTGTTACAATTCACACAAAGTACTGTCAAACAGGGAAGCTGACCTGAGAGCTGGTGTCCGGGGTCTTTATTGGAGCTCCAGCACAGTGGCATGGTTGACTGCCCATATGGCTGATCCAGTTCCTAACTCCTTAGGAAGTTGAGCTGTTATTGCTTTACTCAAAGTCTCCACCCTAAATCACACTGTTACTTTCTAGCATGGCCCAAAGTTCCCAGGCAAATAAAGACACTCATCAGGCATGACATTCCAAGGGCTCAGAAATTACCTCCCAGAAGCCAAGGTCAAAAGCTGGACGTCTTTTTGGGCAAGATTAGATTCTTTACTGCACTGCACCTTACCCTGCTCTGTGTGGGGTCACTGCATTTAAAAAGTCCTGAACTTCTTCATCTTACTGAGCTTAACTGTTACATTATGATACTGATAAAAATAGGATTACATGTGGATTTTTATAATTAATGTGCTTCCAATACTGCTACACTTTGATTCATATTTGGAAAAAATCAACTTGAGACTTGAAACCACCCAAGATTCACAGCTCAAGCTTATTCTAATATTATCAGTATAGACTCTTCTTTTTCCATGTGTCAGTCTTCACCACTATGCCATATTTTTGCAAAATAACACTCAGTATAATCAATACATAATGGAATACCTTTCATTTAACATCAGGATAAAAATCTAGCCTTTTGAAAAACTATCAATGTATACACCTCAGATAATTATATTCCCTTCCATGAGTTGATCATTATACTTCAAGATTACTGATGGGCTCTCTTTGTGCTCTCCGAGGAAGCAAAAATAACTTCCTAAAACCTGCTAGAAATCTGAAGATTGCTGCTATTTAAACATTAGCTGTTGGTGTTTCTAAACTGCTATGCCTTAAATCACCTCTGTATCACAAACTATTGAGTCATGTGCCTATATATGAAAATGCAATACTGAATCATGTTTTTCTTAAAAGGCATGGAAACCTCTAACAATTTTACTTTGGGTTGTCAGATATCAGAATGCTCTCTGCTGTGTACTTTGTAGTATGTCCAAACAGGTGTCAATGTTACAGTATGAACATATAAAATCTGGACACAAAATAAATGTGTTAGAAACAAAATCTGTATTTTACAAATGAAAAATCCTGATATTTATGAAAAGAATCTTAGCAACATTAAAATTACTAACATAAATCACTTTTCCAATTTCAAACAATACTTTTATAAAAGAATTAAGACATCTTTTAATCATACAGAGAAAAATATATTCCTTTGAACTAATATAAACACCAACAAAAATTATTATCCACACAAAATAGAAGATATATTTTATCTAAAAATTAATGCTAGAATTTTTGAATGGGAATATAATATTGAAGAGAAGTATCTAATACATTTCTTGTAATGAAGACATGAAACAGATATTATTTGGTATTATTTTCTGCCTTAAAATCTTGGAGGAGAATATTTTTGCCAGAAGATGCACCTGCACTAAATTTTAAAATAAATGCAATAAGGAGGAAAGCAATTAAGCATATTTTTGCCCATAAATAAAAGCATATTATTATAATGCAAAGAATAATCACATAAGAATGATAGTAAGCTTTGAGATACTAAAGCTACTAAAGAAATAGCTATATAAAAACCAAATGCATAATATTAAAATGTTTAAAACAAACCATAAATATACTCTGAATACTTTCACCTTATACTTAGCTACATTTTCTCATTCTTTATTATGTTAATGAAATTCTGAACATTACTATTGCTTTTCAAGGTCAAATAAAATGCTACATCCTAGGCAGAGATTTTTAGAATATTAGTTGTTTTTAAGGATTTCCTGCCCCCCAGTGGTGTCTGCCTTAATATTTTCACTGCACCTTTCATTATTGCAAACAGAAATATCACTGCTACAAGTACATTTTGAAATTATAATACATTGTACGGCAGCATCTAATTTTTTTTCCATTGCAAGTTCACTGTCTGTTTGTACCGCTATATCATATCTTGCAACCTGCAGAATGCAGTTGTTACTGGTTTTGTTTTGCAATATGGGTGCTGAATTGCACTGAGACTGTGGAAACTGATCTGTATTATTTTTCATTGAGAATTGGTGAAAATTTTCATTCTGTTTGTGCATTTTGGCATTGTTTTTAACAACTCTATCACTTGAAAGTTTTGCCATCCTTTCTAGATAAAAATTATCAGTTATTTCTTTGGTTTCAATGGATATCCTATTTGAATCTTCAATTTGCTGTGATATTTGATCTTCATCTTCAGATACCTAAAGAAAATTAAATAATTTTGCTGTAAATATGGTTAAATTTTAAAAATTAATTTAAAAAAATTAATTCAGTCACTTCAAAGCAGATATTCTTAAGATTCACATTATAGAAAATTTTTAAATACAAAAGAGACTTTGGCAGGTTACAAATCAAAGCATCTATACCATCAAGAAGTCTTCAAACAATAATCTTGCACACGACCCAAGAGGTTATGAATTTTAAAAAAGCAAGAATAATAATAATCCTTATAATAACATACAAAAGAGCTAAAAAGGAAAAGGGAAATTTTGTCTTTTATCAGTGCCTATAATCATAGGGTACATCATCCCTCAACCCTTTCACACAGAAGAAATGATATGCAACACACTCTTCAACCAATTAAAAAGTGTGGAGTAGAACTAATACCTTTGAAGGAAACAGCTAATACATATAACTTGTTCAAATATTCATCCATTGATTCATTAAGTAAAAAAATCTATTTATAGACAAAATAAAAGTTAAATAGCAATACATATCTCAATTGTTACTTAAAAAAGTCAAACTTTAATAACCTTTAATAGGTCTAGATTTCAATTTTTTAACCTTGAAATTTTCAAATTCATAAAAATTTATCTTTTAATTACTGAATAAAAATATTCTTTATATAAAATGCTTATATAAAAGTATTGATTTTTCAAGCTAAAAAATGCAAAGTTAACATAAAAAAACTAAAAATTGAGTATATGTCTTAGCTGACTGGCATTGAAATAGCAAAACTAAGTGCAGGAAATAGCATTAAAATTGGCTGAGCAAAAACGAGAAAGCAAGCTCAAGGCATTTATTAATTCAAGAAACAAACATTCATTTAGCATCTACAGTGTGAGTGTAGTAGAATGGTTGCGACCCTCTTGGGGCACACATTCTAATGCGTAGAAATGACATTAGTCCAATAATCATACGTGTGGACATATAATTACAAACTGAGAAAAGTGTTATGAAGAACAAATATGAGGCACTTTGAGAGTGTAACTGGGGGGCCTAATTTAGATAGGGAAGCCAGACAGTGGCTTCTTGACTAAGAGACATATTTGAGCTGAGACCTAAGGGATGAATAAGAGTAAGGTAGAGTAAGCACAATGTATAAAAGCCCTGAAGCAGAAAAGGGGCTAACAAGCTAAGGGAAGTGAAATGTCAGTATGTTTGGAGAATACTAGAAGAAACTGGCAATGTTAGCCAGGGGCCAGATCACACAGGGCAAGTAGCCACTATAAGGAGTTTAGATGCTAAAGTAAAATAGGAATCCACTGAATAGTTACACATGGAAATAACACAATGCAATTTATGTTTTCAAAAGATTACGATGGTTGCTAACTAGAGAAGAAAGTGAGGCAAGCATGAAAGTAGACAAATCTCTCAGAAAACAACCACAACAGTTCAAGAACAAGATCATGGTAACCTAGAACAGGGTACTGATGACATAGGTTGAGAGAAGTAGGTAAATTTGAAATTTATTTTCGAGGTAGAATTGACTAGATAAAGTTATGGAATGAATGTGGTTGATGGATGTATATGAGACAGAGAAAGAAATGACAAAGTTAAGTGCTGAATTTCTGACATGAACACTTAGGTGGATAGGAAACGTATCTACTGATATGGGAAATATCAGAAAAATTTATTTGGGGGAGAAGATCAGGGGGTGTTCAGTTTGAGGTATGACGAGATGGAGATTTTTATGAAATATGCAAAATGACATGTTCAATAGGAAAGTGGACATCTAAATAAGGATCAGGGCTAAAGTCATAAAGTCGGGGAACTGTCCTCATCAGATAGCATAAAAAGTCATTGGAGTGTATAATACCATCATCTAGGGTTTAGAGTGTAGGTTAGCAGAAAAGAGGGCCATTTGTCAAACCCTAATCATTACAACATTTGTATAGGGGTATGGGTAGAGACAAAGTGGGCGAAGGCATAAAGTAGCATTCAGAGAGGTATAAAGGAAACCAAGATAGTGTGTTATCACAAAAGCAAAGAGATAAAAATGTTTTTAAAAAAATAATCATTTCTACAAATATTAGGAATCCTTATAAGATAAAGACTTAAAAGTATACGATGGGCTGGGCGCGGTGGCTCACGCCTGTAATCCTAGCACTCTGGGAGGCTGAGGCGGGCGGATCCTTTGAGCTTAGGAGTTTGAGACCAGCCTGAGCAAGAGCGAGACCTCGTCTCTACTAAAAATAGAAAAATTAGCCAGGCGTCGTAGCACGCACCTGTAGTCCCAGCTACTCGGGAGGCTGAGGCAGGAGGATTGCTTGAGCCCAGGAGTTTGAGGTTGCTGTGAGCTAAGCTGACGCCACGGCCCTCTAGCCCGGACAACAGAGCAAGACTGGCCAAAAAAAAAAAAAAAAAAAAGTATATGATGAATTTGGCAACACAGAAGTCACTGGCATCCTTAGCAATAGCAGTTTGGATGGAAAATTAGAGACAAAAGGCAGATAGAACGAAGATGGGAGAGTGAATGGAGAATTTCATTTAAACATGTGATTTAGCAGAAACGCAGCATTTCCACTCAGAACATAACATGTCACTCCAATTATTCAGATTTCAGTCTTCCAATAACATTTTACAGTTTTCTTCATTTAAGCCTGGAGACTTTCTTTTGGAATGTATTCTTAGTTGCTTTATGTTTCCAATTATTGTGAGTGAGTTCTTTTAAAAACCCTTTTAAGAGAAATGTAATTTATCTCTATTTTATATGTAACTATATATTTTATATAACATATGTTGTATGTGCATATACAGTTCAAACAACATGGGTTTGAACTGCATGAGTCCATTTATATGTGGATTCTTTTTCAATAAATATATTGGAAAATTTTTTGGAGATTTGCAACAACTTGCTGATGAACCGTGTAGCCTAGAAATAGCAAAAAAATAAATAAATAAGAAAAAGGTATGTCATGAATTCATAAAATACATGTAGATCCTATTCTATCATTTACCGCCATAAAATATGCACTAACTTATTATAAAAAGTTAAAATTTATCAAAAGTTACGTATATAAACAAGTTGAATAAGGCACTGTTCACAATGGAAAGAAATGTAAACACATGAATATGCAGTATAAATCATAACTGCATAAAACCATAGTACATACTGCACTACTGTAATAATTTCATAGTCACCTCCTGTTACTACTATAGTGAGCTCAAGTGTTGCAAGTATACACTGAAAACACCATGTGACAATAATCACCTCCACATGAGCAGTTTGTTTCTCCAGTAAATTGCGTATTGCACTAAAAAGTGATCGGTCACAGTTCTTATGTCTTTTTCTTTGTGTTTAGTGCAATGTCATGAATCTTGAATAATACCCGAGACCCATGTGAAGTGCCACTAGAAATGCTGGAAGTGCTCCCAAGAAGCAAAGTCATGACGTTAGAAGAAAAAGTTGAATGGCTTGATATGTACTATAGACTAAGGTCTGCAGCTACAACTACCCACCATTTCAAAATAATCCAGCCTAAGGAACATGCACAGAAAGACAAATATCGCATGTCCTCAATCACATGTGGGAACTAAAGAAGTTGGTAGAGTATAAAATGGAGGTAGAGTATAAAATGATAGATACCAGGGGCTGGGAAAAGTATGGGGATGGGAAGGGTGAAGAGATTTGGTTACTGCGTACAAACACACAGTTAGACAGAAGGAATACATTCTAATGTTCGATGAAGAGTAGGGTGGCCATAGCTAAAAACAATGTATTGTATATTTCCAGACAGCTAGTAGACAGGACTTGAAATGTTCCCAACACATAGAAATTATAAATAGTCAAGGTGATAGATACCCTAAATACACTGACTTGATCATTATACATTCTATGCATGTAACAAAATATCAAATGTACCTCATCATAAACATGTACAAATATTTATATCAATTACAAAAGAAAGAAAAGAAATAAAAGGTAAATCTAAGCATGCTTCTTTAGAGATGGATTATGAGCTGTATTCTTTCAGAGAATGGAACTACTTAACAAATAGATAACTATAATCTAGCATTGGGAATATGCTATTGAATGATATTTCTTACCTATTGTTCATAAGTACTTAGTATGATGTATTCATATATACATGTTTAAAAGGTAAATTTAAGCAAGATTCTTTAGAGAGGCATTATTTCCTATTTTCTTTGAGAATGAAACTGTTTAACAAATAGAGAACTCTGTAATCTAATGTTAAGAACATAGTATTGGAGGACATCTCTTCCCTTTCTTTCTAAGACCTCATTTGGATGGGTTTACATATATTCAATTTTAAAAGCTAAATATAAGCATAATTCTTCCCCAAAAAAAGAAAGAAAAGGGAATTTTTTTTTTTTTTTTGAGACAGAGTCTAACTCTGTTGCCCGGGCTAGAGTGCCGTGGCGTCAGCCTACCTCACAGCAACCTCAAACTCCTGGGCTCAAGCGATCCTTCTGCTTCAGCCTCCCGAGTAGCTGGGACTACAGGCATGTGCCACCATGCCCAGCTAATTTTTTATGTATATATATTTAGTTGTCCAGATCATTTCTTTTCATTTTTTTTTTTTTTTTTAGTAGAGATGGGGTCTCGCTCTTGCTCAGGCTGGTCTCAAACTCCTACCTTGAGTGATCCACCCAACTCAGCCTCCCAGAGTGCTAGGATTACAGGTGTGAGCCACCATGCCTGGCCAGAAAAGGGAATTTTTGAAGCCATCACTGCAGCTATGCCAGCAAGCATGAAAACCTTGCACTTTTTGCAGAATATACCTTTTTATCTTGTATTGATAATGCAGCCTTTATGTGGGTACAGGATTGCTATAAGAAAGGTATACCTATAGACTCTAAAATGATGCAAGAAAAAGTGAGGTCATTATATGGTAATTTAAAGCAAAAGGAAGGTGAAGGATCTAAAGCTGGAAAATTTAAGCCATCAAAGTATGGTTTGATAATTTTAGAAAGAGGTTTGGCTTAAAAAACGTCAAGATAACAGGAGGAACAGCTTCTGCTGACCAAGAGGCAGCAGATGAGTTTCCAAATGCCATTAAGAAAATCTCTGAGTCACAGGCTCAGTGGCTCACACCTGTAATTCTAGCACTCTGGAAGGCTGAGGCAGGAGGATCACTAGAGCCCAGGAGTTTGAGGTTGCAGTGAACTATGAAGGCACTATGGCACTCTAGCCCAGGCGACACAACGAGACTGTCTCCAAAAAACAAACGAACAACAACAAAAAAAGAAAATCACTAAGGATATTTGCTTAAACAGGTTTTTAATGCAGATGAAAGTGCCCTATTCTGGGCGAAAAAATGCCACTAAGGACATTTATTACTAAGGAAGAGAAGCAAGTACCAGGACTTAAGGCAGGAAGGGATAGGTTAACTCCATTGTTTTGCACAAATGTAGTTAGGTTTATGACCAGGACAGCCCTTATTTATAAAGCTGATAACCCTCTCCCCAACCCTTTGAAGGGCAAAGATAAATACCAGCTGCCAGTCTTTTGGTTGTACAAGAAGGCTTGGACAATGAGAACCCCTTTCCTGGATTGGTTCCATCAATGCTTTCTCTCTGAAGTCAGAAGTACCTTGCCGGTAAGGGATTGCTTTTTAAAGTACTTTTGATATTGGACAATGACCCTGGCTACCCAACCCCATGAGTTCAACACCAAAGGCATCAAAGTGGTCTGCTTGCCCCCAAATGCATCATTTCTGATTCAGCCTCTAGATTAAGGGGTCATAAAGGCCTATAAGGCTCATTGCACACAGTACTCTATGGAAAGGATTATCAATGCTATCGAAGAGACCCCCCCTACCCCCAGAAAGAATAAGTCTGAAAGGATCACACTATTAGAGATGCAACTGTTGTTACAGAGAAGCTGTGAAAGCCATCAAGCCTTAGGCAACAAATTCCTGCTAGAGAAAAACTGTGTCCAGATGTTGCACATGACTTCACAGGATTTATGACAGAGCTAGACAAGGAAATCATGAAAGGGATTGTAGATATGGCAGAAAAGGTGAGGAGTGAAGGGTTTCAAGATATGGATCTCTAAATTAATACAGCATATATTAATAAGTAAAACAAGCATAACTTACCACTAGGTCTGAACTAGAGCTGAAACAACTATTTGTTGTCCTTGGAGAGTAACCAGTAGACTGACTACTTAGTGAAGAATCAAGACCTGAAAATAAAGGTTTAATTCATGAAGCATGGTATTTATTATTACTCTACAAAATATACACAGGCAGAGGATATCTGCTAGTAAAATAAGCTTATCTAACATAACACACAGCCCTTTAAAATGGGCCAAAATTAATTAAAATTTTGGGTAGTTAGAACTTTGCATTCCTGACAGGGTATACAGATTTATTCTACCCTTAAAAGATTTATAAGTAAAAAATATATAACACAAGGGAAGAAAGAAAAATAGAGAAAATTGGATTGATTTTTCCAATATATGAAACATTTTTTATGAACAAATAATTTAAAGTGTCAGCCTGCAGGAAGGAAGAATAAACCAAGTTTATTAAGTCCCAAGGCATCAGATATTTGCTAATCTAATAAATGAAACTTTATTGTGCAATCAAAACTGTATTCAAAATACCTATTCAAATTATCCAATATGATATCTGTTTGTTATGTGCTTAAAATGTTATTTTATGATTGCAAGTTTAAAAATGGACCTGGAAAGTAGGTTGTGACTCCCTACCATGCATAAACACTAAAGAACAACAATAGCTTCAACAGGTCCTATACCCTTGTTTAGGAAAGTGGGCCTGCTATCAAGAAAAGCAAAGTCCACAGAATGTGAAACAACACATACCGTGTTATATGCCCTCCTATATGCAATAAACCATGAACACTATCTATTCATGCCTTGGGTGAGGACTGATGCTCTCTGTAACAGAATCTAACTTCTGTCAGCTGAGAGGCAGAGAGAACTCAGCTGAACTCTGATACCCCTATCTCATCATTCTATGAGTAAATTCATACCCACACAAAGCAGTTTCTCTCTGACAGCAGAATGCAGAACGTAGAAAAGTGAAGGGTAGGGATATTATTACTAACAAACAACATAATTTAAGGGCATTCCTCTCCTGCCCCAACCCCTATAAAGTTCATTCAGTCCACAGGCACTGCAAACCCACAGTCATCAGGAGGAAAGAAAAATGTCTCTTGAATGAATATCTCACCTTTAACAGTGCAGGAAAGGATATGCTGAAGAAAATGTAAATCCAATTCAAGTCAACACTTATTGAGTAACTAATTAATGTAAGGCACTGTGATAGTTATTAGGGATACATGGCCACAACCCTCAAAGTGTTCAGAATCTTGTAGTAGAGAAAGACATAAATTGTTTAAAAAGCACACAAAATAAAAATATGACAATAGGAGTCATAGAAGGTGCAAAAGTAGCAGGGAGCTAAACGTGATGAGCTCTAGAGAGAGAGGGAGAGAGATGTGGTGAAGATTTATAAAGAGAACATGAGTATAGAGAGTAGGTTTTGAATGATGAATAAACATTTTTCATAGAGACAAGATGAAAAACTAGCATATGGGATAGAGGGAAAACAACGTGTAAATATTCCTAAATATTAAAGGAAGTTGCATTTTAGATTGTCCACTAAGGCATCCAGCTAACAATGGATTAAAGAAGGGTGAGACTGGATTAAATCAGTGTAGAAGATTAACTGAATAATCTGCAATAAAGCATTAAAATTGGGATGGAGAAAAGGCAAAGATTCGAATTTCAAGAAAGCTTTCAAATAGCCTCAATTTTTGCATGTATGTAGCTTTTAAAATTTTTGTGAATCTGATATAACAATACCAAAATCTGATAAAGACTGCACACAGATATAAACACACTCTAACTTATGAACATCAAGGCAAAAATATAATAAACATATTAAAATTTTTTAGAAGAATAAAATAGAATAGCAAACAGAATCATAATATAATCATGACTTGGTGGGATTCATTATAGGAATGCTAAGATGGTCCAAATCACAAAATGCATTAGTAAAATTCACCTTTTTAAAAGATCTATATCAAAATGAGGTATCGGGCTGCATGCAGTGGCTCACGCCTGTAATCTAGCACTCTGGGAGGCTGAGGTGGGAGGACATCTTGAGCTCAGGAGTTCAAGACCAGCCTGAGCAAGAGCAAGAGCCCATCTCTACTAAGAATGGAAAAAATTAGCCTGGTGTGGCAGCATGCTTCTGTAGTCTCTGCTACTCAGGAGGCTGAGGCAGGAGGATTGCTTGAGCCCAGGAGTCTGAGGTTGCTGTGAGCTAGGCTGATGCCACGGCACTCTAGCCTGGGCAACAGAATGAGACTCTGTCTCCAAAAAAAGAAAAGAGGTATCACCTCACACCTGTTAGGGTGGTCACTATCAAAAAAACCCAGAAAATAATAAATTGAGGATGTGAAGAGAAGGAAACCCTTATCCATTGTTGGTGGGAACATATATTAGTATAACCACTATGGAAAATAGTATGGAGGTTACTCAAGAAATTAAAAATAAAATTACCATATATCTAGCAATATTATTTCTGGGTATATATCCAAAAGACTTGCAAAGATCTAGAAGATATGTGCATATTTATGTTCATTGCACCATTATTCACAATAGCCAAAAGGTGGAAGCAATCTAAGTATCCACCAATGAAGAAAATGTGAAAAACTGATACAATGGAATACTATTCAGCATTAAAAAAGAAGGAAATCTTGATATAGGTTACAATGTGAATGAACCTTAAGGACATTATGCTAAGTGAAACAAGCCAGTCACAAAAACACAAATACTGCATGATTTCACGTGAGGTATATAACTGGAAAATAGAAAATAAAATAGTGGTTGCCAGGGGCTGGGTGCAGTGGGAAGTAGGGAATTGTTGCTTGGTGGATATAGAGGCAGGATGGGGGAGGAAGGGTTCTGTGGATCTGCTGCACAACAATGTGTGTGTGGTTGACAATACTGTACTGCATACCTGGAAATTGTGGGAGGGTGAATTTTATGTTACGTGATTTTTTGTCACATTAATAAAAAAAGATCCATTAATAAAAATGAATAATCATTCCCACGGATGCCAAGAAACACTCTTCCCCAGATTTCCAAAAATCATCTCACAAAAAGATTCTTTGTAAAATGATGAACACACATGAGCTTAAACCCAAAATCCAGAATCGCACTTAATGTTGAAACACAGGACATATTCACAATAAAGAAGAAAAGAAAAGGGAAAGAAAGGAAAGAAAGAAAAGAAGAAAGGAAGAAAGAAAGAAAGAGAAAGAAAAGAAAGAGTATAGATAAATCTAACAAGGAACATGCAGAATCTATTTGAGGAAAACTTAAGGAAAGTGCTTAAAGGTGTTTTAAGCAACTACTAAAGATAAATAACTAGACTGAATTAATGGAAAGACATTCCATGTTCTTAGATGGGCATACTCAACATCATTAGGATAACAATTCACACTAAATTAATATATACATTTAACAGTTTCCTAATAAAAATTAAAACTTTTATTTTGGGGTTTGGTAAGTTGATTTTAAAGTTTATATGGAAAAAAAAATCAAGAATAGCCAGTAAAAACTTTACAATCATGGCTCACTGCAGCCTAAAACTCCCGGGCTCAAGGGAGCCTCCTGCCTCAGCCTCCCAAGTAGCTAGGACTACAGACATATACCACTATGCTCAGCAAATTTTTGATCTTTCGTAGAGATGGGGGTCTTGCAATGTTGCCCAAGCTGGTCTCAAACTCCTGGCCTCAAGCAATCCTCCCACCTTGGCCTCCCAAAGTGCCAGGATTACAGGTGTGAGCCACCACACCTGGCCTAGTAAAAACTTTTTAAAAAGTGCAAAGAGGGGTATAACTCTTCAAGAAATTAGTGTATGGTACTGGCACATGAAGATTAGGAAAGACCAATGGAACAGTTAAGAAAGTCCCAAAACAGATCAGATACATATAGAAAGTTAGTGTATAAAAAAAGATAGTATCACAAATACCTAGGTAAAAGATGTATTTTAAAAACTTGGATTGATAGAAACCTCACACTTTAAGTCAAGATAAACTCCAAATAAAGGCCTCAGTGTAAACATATAAAATCATACTAATATTAAAAGAAAATATGGTGAATTCATGTATAACTTGGGAGTATGGAGAATCTTTCTAATTAAATCCAGAAATAATAAAAGATTGATAAATTAAACTCCATAAAAATGGTAAGCCTTTTGCAAAGCAAGAGACACTATAAACAAAGGAAAAACAAAATAAATAAAAAACCAATATTAAACTAGAAGAAAACATTTGTTACTTATGTCACAAAACCTAGGTCTCTTTAATATATAAAGAGATCTTAAATATCAAGAAACAAAGGCCAAAAAGTAAATGGGTCAAAAATATGAATGAAGAGTTCACAGAAAAAGAAATGCAAATAGCCACTGAATATTGTTAAAAGATGCTCAACTTCACCTACATAGAAGTACAAACTAAAACTTCTATCTATCCATACATCTATGTAAAATTTACAAAAACTCTAAAGTTTAACCACAATCTGTGTTAGTGAGGCTGTCGAATAAAATGGACATTGCTGGTGGAAGTGTCAAATGGTGAAGCAAGGAACTGCGCCGTATATATCAAAATTCAAATTTGGCAATGTCTATTAAATACCAGTTTATCTCCCCTTTAACTCAGTAATCCCACTCCTAGAAATTACCCCAAATCACCTCCACAAATTAGAAACATATGCACACATTCATTTACTTTACATTTTTAATAATACTGGAAAAAGCCCAAATGTCCATCACTGATTGAATAAACTATGGTCCATGCACATAATGGATTATTAAATAGTTATAAAGGATGAATAACTAGTGCTAACATGGAAGAATATATAGGATATTTTATTAACTGAATTCACTTAATTTATAAAATATCCTACATTACATTTAGAGTGAAAAATGCAAGGACTAACACTCATGGGGATGTGTGGGTTTAACTATTTTTAGGCTTTATTTTTGAAAAAAACAGCACAGAATGGTAAATCATAAATCAACAAAAAATACTCATATGTGGCAGAAGGAAATAGGGCAGGGAGGATATGGATAGAAACCAGACTAGTGAGAATAGTGTTATACATATTAAAAAAAAATTAAATCAAAAAGAAAAAAGTGTCTAGGTATCCTAGCAGACTAGATAACATGAAGAACCAATCTAGCACAGAATACCTAAAAAGTGCCAGATAAATATGAAACTTTGTCCACAAAAAGATAATACGGAATGAAAAGACCACTTAAATATGAAGTATTTGCTACACACAAGCCCACAAGCAATTGGTATTCAGGATACATAGAAGATATATAGGATATAGACACATAAAAGACACATCCCATAAGGAAAATCAGACTTCAAAAAGAAACATGGGCAAAAGACATGAAAGGCATTTCACGGATGAAACAATGGATGGCCAATTTACCTAATTAGTAATAAAGGAAATATAAATTAAAATTAAAACTGCAGTAAGATATCAGATTACCAACAATGATAAAAACTGACACAGTGTTGGCGAAAACATGTAGCAACTAAGATTCTTACCCTTTGCTAGTGGGAGTTTAAACTGACACAACCACTTTAGAAAATAATTTTGCCTTATCTTGAAGAGGTGAAGATATGCATATCATATGAGCTAGCAATTCCACTCCTAGAAATATATCCTAGGGGAACTTTTTATACATGTGTGCAAGAAGAAACATCAAGAATGTTAAAAGTAACATGTTTTTATAGTAATATATTCAAAATAACCTAAATATCCTTTGCCAGAAGAAGCATAAATGAATTGTGGTATTTTCACATAATAGAATACTGTATAGCAGTAAAAATAATAATAATAATGAAACCTACTAGAGCCACAAGTATCAAAGTGGATGAACCTCATAATATTGGGTGAAAAAAAGCAAGCTGTAGAAAAATATATAGAGTTTGCTTCAGTATGCAGAAAGTTCAAAATCAAGTAATGGAAAAGTCAGCGTGTGGTATCACAAAAAACAAATTCGGGATAATAGTTACCTCTAGAGGGCAGGATAGAAAATACAATTGAGTAAATCTTAAAAAGTATTAAGTATTATTTATTTCTTAACCTACACAGTACAAAGGTTATCTGTTTTATTATTATTTGCTTAACTGTAAATACATTATATATACTCATGTATATTTTATAAAATATAAAAGTAATTTTAAAGAGTAAATTGCATTCCTATTCTATTCTAAAATATCTCTGAAATATACATTTACTGGCAAAAATCTAACAAAAACTAAAAATTTAACTGATTTATATTTGTTAGTTTTTTAAAAAGAATAAAACTCATTTATACAGTTACACTGACACATTTTCTTAGTAGATGTTGGCCTGCCCTTTAAAGAACATGTTCCTCCTTCTTCCATCAGAATCTAGAAGAAAATCAAAATTTTAACAATTCCCAAATATACATAATAATATTCACTTATATCAACCTTATCAACAACACCATTTTATAGTACTTTTCCTTTACTTTAATTCAACACATATAAAAGACAAAGAAAAACTAGCCTGTGGTGAACAATATAAATGAAATTTAAATTGGTTTAGAAACAGCAAGCAACAGAATAGACACTAGCCTAGAAATGAATTACTAACAAAAAGGAAAGGCTTCAGGTAATCATAGTAAATGCAGTTGAAAAAAAAGCAAGTTATTGAGGCAATTTGGGGATTTGTTCTGTTATTTTTTCTAATTTCTTAGGTTGGATATCAGTCATTTTTTTTTAAATAATAAAAGCTCTTAGAGGTATAAATTTTCTATAGAATATATCACTGGATTTGGTTCTCATCACTTTCTATGTAACTTATTTTCATTTCCTTTCTTTAAAAAAAAAAGAAGAGAGGTTAAGTATCTCTTCTTTGTTGATTTCAAATTTTATTAAATTTTGATTAGAGAATGTGGCTATGAATCTCTTCTTTGAAAAAATTTCTTAGATTTTCTTTATGGCTTATTGCATGAATTGTTTGCAAATGTACCATGGACTTACAGAAAATATTTTCTATATATTCTCTGTTTGTGGGATATACAGTTTTAGATAGACAGCTAAGGTAAAGGAGAAACTACCTAGCTGTCTGCCAAACCTGATTCCCTTTCCTGTATGTTAGACATACAGCTAGACTCCATTTCCTAGCCTCCCTTGAACTTGGTTTGGACATATGATTTAAGTTCTGGTCATGGGCAGAAGTAATGTAAACTACTGTCAGTCCTGGCCCACAAAAATCTTCTCCACAATCCTCCACTTCCTTTTCCCTTCTGCTATATGGTAACGATACATACTACAAAGATAGAAGGCACCAGTTGAAGACAGCACAGTCTCCACCAGTTTGGTGCCCTAAATAACTACATGGAGCAGAGGCCCTTCCCTAATCCCACTATTTTATCATTTAAAAGTCTTTTCTGTTCAACTCTTGACACATTCAAGCCCCAAATTTGCACCAAGAACACAAATCTGGGAAAGCTATACAGACCCCAAGTCAGGCACGCACTCCAATACCTACTTCAGATCTGTTCATGAAGAATAGCAAAGAAAATCCTCCCAAAATAAAAGAAACTATTATTCACAGAGCTGCCCTCATCCTCCAGGACAGCAAGCCTTCGCAATGCTTGCCCAGCAGGATTTTGCACTTGCTATGGATCTGTAACGCTGTATCTCCCTGTTCTCTTTTCCAAATGGGCTTTCAGTTGCATTTATATTGCCTGCTTGACTACCTATATATGTTTTCTTAATGTATATATCTTTTGCTTTTTATTTTCAACCTTTATTATATTCTATATATGTTTATTGTAAAATACATAGATTTTTTTCCTTCACAATATGATATTCTTTGAATTTTGAAAAGTCAACCCCCTATTTACTGTATTAAGTGCTAAACAGGTTTCATTTTTATACTTTATGTAGAGCTCCTATTTCATTTTTCCCACTTTGATCAGGTTTCCTAGTGTGACATCACCACTTCCTTTGAATTTTGAAGTTCTCTCATTTGTTTCCATTTCTCTAGTGATTACCTCCCCATTTTTAACAATCTTATTTAAACTTTGTTCCTCTACTACTGCTTTAAAATTAAGTAATGATACTCCTCCCTCCAAAACCTTGTTCTTTCCTATTCTCTTCCATCCTCAACAGAAGGATCTTAGGGATACTACTACTTCCCCATCAAAGAGGTTTGTTTTGTTTTGTTTGTTTTAGCTCTTAAGTTTTCTATAACCTGTTGGTAATTCCTTTTTTGGGAGGATACCTCTATATTATTCATATTTGGGAAAATGAGTTTTTTAAAGGAGTAATAGGACAGCATCCAACATTATTAACTACATTCCCCTCCTGGAAAGTTTCTCCTTTTGTCTTTCCTATGACACCATTCTCCTAGTATTCCTCAACCCTCTATAGTAGCTCATTTTCAGTCTCTTTCTGGCTTCTCTTCTACTGCACACCCTCCAACATGAAATGTGGCTTCTCAGGAACCTGTCAACAGTTGTACTTGTTCTATACACTTTTCTCTGGAGAAACATATACATGGATGTATTCGATTACCACCTACTAAATAAGACTGAAAATCTCTTCTGACCGCAAGCCCTGTATATATAAAAGCCTACTATATACAACCTCATATAACCACAGATTTTTCAGAGACCCTCAGTTGAGCTCAACAAGTCAAACTTAACTCATCTTCTCTCAGAAATCCGCTCCTCTGAGGAGGAGGTATTGTTTTTTTAAAAAGTACATCACAAAATATATAATGCTCAAATACAATTATTTCCCTCTCATGTAATAAGCTAAAGTGAGTGTTCCTGGTAAGTAGGAAATTTTCTTCCATGTAGTGATTCGAAGATCTGATCCTTTCCATCTTGTGGCTCTACCAGCCCTTAGGGCCTCATTTCCATCTAGCCATCAGAAGAAAGATTGCACAGAAAAAGAATTCTCACTTCTTACAAGCCTTGACCTAAAAACGACGCACATCACTTCTGCTAACAACTCATTAGTGAGATCTAGCCATATGGCCACATGTACATGGTTGGATGATTAGGAAATACGTTCCTTGGCTGGGAAACCATTTCACAGGGGCAGCTGTCTTCTAAAAGAGACGGTACATGGAATTTTGGTGGACAGTTACCCTTTCCTGACATCTCCTCCTATGTCTTCAGTCTTGGTGAATAGCATTATCTCGTCAATAACTCATTTACTCAAATCATAAATCCAGATCTTCCTTGATCAATTTCTTCCTTCTCCCCTAACTAATTACCAATCACCAAGTCCTATCAAATCTAAATCTAAATATTCTCTGCCTTTGCCTTCATCCTACTACCACTGCCCAACTTCAAATCCTCATTATTTCTTCCCTGTCTTGAGATTTTGCTTATCAAATCTCTCTTCACTGTTGACAGAGTCGATTTTTTAATGCTCAAACTTCCTCACACTTCTCTAAAATTTTTTTTAGTGGATCTGTTTGGTGATAGGAAATTAAACTGCTATATATTGTTCAAGGTCATTTATGACCTGGCCCTTTATACTGTTCAGAATTATTTCATGCTATTCCTGCACCCCTTGTAATTTATGCTATAAACAGTAGCAATAACAATAACTAGAATGAAACAAGATACACAAGGTTTCTAAAACAAGCTAAATTCTCTCACATTTGAGTTTCTATTTATGTTGCTCCTTTTTCCCAGACAGTGTGTCCATTTGGTAAACATATTAATTGATATTGTGCTCAAAAGTTATCTCCTCTATCTTCCTCCTGACTACATGTGAAACTTACAAGTGTCTTTTACTAATCTTCCACTTCCCTTTGTACAAACTTTAGTTGGAGCAATTTATTTAAATGCATTAGATTTTTTTCTGTTTCTGACTAGCTGCTAGATGAAAGCTTCTTAAAGATAGGGTCCACGTCCTTTCATCTCTGCAGAGTCTAGTGTATAGCAGAATGTAATCTTCTTGAGAACAATGACTTTATCTTTTCACCATTTTATCCCTGGTATCTAGCATATAGGAGACACTCATTAAGTGTCTATTAAATGAATTTATAGTATGTGCTCAATGCATATTTATTGAAAAAAAAAGGAGAAAATGGTATAATTGAAAATATTCAGTCAGATAAGGTAGTAGTTTGAATCCTGGCTCAAGAGTGTGACCTTCAACAAGTTATTTAATCTTTCTAAACTTCAGTCTCTTTTGCTGTGAAGACTTTACAAGATCAGACATTTGCAGATTATAGATAAAGTACACAAAGTTCTTGGCACGCCCTTATTATGAGGAGGAAGTGTAACATTACATAAGCAACGTTTATAGATGTTTCAATAGTCTGGTGAATATATAATTATGTTCACCAGTAGCACATTGAAACCTAAAGCATTTTCCTCTCGGAAAAAATTTTATAATACAGAAAGTATTGAAAACATCGATACTAATCAACGCTAATCTAGATTCATTTGTCTCAAACAAAGCACATTACAGTTTCTGAAAAGGTATTTTTATTTCAAGATCTAAGCTATAATTTCCCCGGAATAAGAAATATAAGAAAAAGAGTTTACCTAAAAAGAAACTTATGAATAAAAGTAAACCTTAAATCAAAGTATATTATAAATATTAAAATATGACATAATATATACTGACTTAATTGGAAAGATAATGTGTGAATGTGCTTTACCTCGCCAAGTCCGAAGTCCCACGATTGCTTAGAGTGCAATTCTTCCAAAGGGATATTACCCCTAAGGGTTTTAAATAAGACAGTATTAAAATTTGCTTTATTCCCTCTGAAAATTATTGTTCTTGGCTTCAAATCAGAATTATATAGGAAGCTTTTTTAAAAACTCAGAAACTCCACACCAAGGAGCCTATTTATGATGTGTAGGTCAAACTTGGTATTTTGTAGTTTAAAATCATCCCCTCAAGTTAATTTGGATCTGTAGCCAGGTTTAGGAACCATATTCTAAATCACTGTCATGAAGTACATTTTAAAACTCTAGGCCTAACATGATGCTTTTCACTCTTAAGTTTCTGGATATTTGGAGATTTAACAAAAGAACCTAAAAAATTTGTTAATTTTATGAAATAAGCTGTGAGTCTATGTTTTAATTAATCTGTATGTGCCAATCTCATAAAAATGGCATTTATATGTTCATTTTATCAATAGGTATTTTTAATATTTCCATAAGAAATCAATTCCAGAATAAAAATGTATTCTAGCTCATAATTGCCAATCCCAAAGATTTGGCTAAATTACAGTTATTACCAAGAAAGTTAGGACTATTCAGAAACTGCTAATTAAAATAAAGTTTTCTTTAATTACCTGTAACACAGAAGAACCAGTAAGACAACCCCCAAACTCTGAGGAATACATTAAATATCAACCCATAATGGATGAGTTTAAAAATCACCTAAATATAGAACATTTTATACAGCAGCAACAAGAAAAGAAAGCAAAATCTGGTGGATTCTAATTGTTTTCATATAGAAAAAAAATGTATCAGTGGTGGGATGGAAGAAATGGCAATCTTTTTTCTCCTTTCAATGTCTTTGAGCACATTAATGAAATGGTAATCTTGAACATAGAGAAAACCAGGAGTTTCTCTGAGAGGGAAATGTTGGCAATGGGACAAGTACTCTATCCCTAGAATGTACACTGTCCTGTAAACTGCTGATATGCTTGTTTACTCCACTAACATGAATTCTATTACTCCTTGTTCTCATTCCATACTCAAGCAAGTAACTTCCTACGGAGAGCTACCGGAAAGTAAGGAAAAATGCTTTTTCTTGCCAGTAAGCATTCCTATACATGTGACCCTTCTATTTCTTACTGTAAATCAATATATTGACATTCTGGTGGGTATATGAGTTTCTTGAACACATAAGTCAATTTCCTCAAATCTAATCAACATTAATAATATTCAGTTAAGAGGAATTCTGGGGCTAGCAAATAAGAGCACTATAAACTAGGGTGATATTACCATGATTGTGACAAGTAAGGCTTCTTTGGAACCAGGTTGCCCACCCTCAGACAGAAATATACTTACTTCATTTTGCATCAATTTAACCTTCAACATGCATTATATAAGATCTTGATTTGTATTCCCCAGATTTACCTAAAAACTTACATAGAATTCACTAGATGTTTCCGGGTATTTTTCTGTAGTGTCTTCTCTTGGTAATCATTTTCAAGTTTTCCTTCAAAAATGAAATTATGCATTGAGTTAAAAATTTAGCATAGTCTATTTTCATTTTTCAATTCAAAGCACATTAGCATGACACATACAGAGGGAAATCACTGGTCCACAATATTATATAATAGAAATCCATTTTGTATACACTAAAACTGAAAACAAAAAAACAAAAAATAGGTTATTATGTTTTCCATGCACAACACTAACCTTTTTTTACAGAGCCAGTTGGGTAATAATCCTTCTCAAAAGATGTACTAAGATCACTTCTTTCATTATTGTTGTACTCTTTCTGATAGTTCTTGTTTGGCTGACATTTTTCTGGATAACTTATGTTATTAAAAGTTGAATTACTAAAAGTCAACTCTGGAACTGTAAAAATGTTTCTAATGAGTCTATCAGAGGACTGGTTTTTAATAGAACCAGTGGCTACACAAATATCTCCCATACTATCATAATCACACTCGTCAAAGGTTTTCTTCATCCTTTCTTGATCGATATTTAATAAATTGATCATATTTTGACTAATGAAAGAGTCACAGTTCTCTGATAGAAGGCCAGGAGTTGGCTGGTTCAAATCATCAAGAAAATTTGAAACCTCTTTTCCATTTTCTTCCCAAATATGTTGTTCTGATTGCTGTTCAGTAATGAAATTCATCGGTCTTGTTTCATCCATGCTTCCACAATCTTCAACCCTAATTATGGCAGAGCTTTCAGTAAGGAAATTCCTATTTCCTGGACTTTGAGATAAATAAAAACATATTTAGCAAGTACAGATCATTTGCATTTAGAAACACTTTCTTTAAATTCTTACAGAACATATTGAGTAACTACTAACATTTACCTAGACTATGTTTTTATTTTTTATATTTAAATAAATAATATTGCTTTGGGTAGAAATTTGTCTAATATGCTCTTCTAATGACTTCTTGAGTATAAAAATAATCTACACTAGGTTTTGCATTTCAAAATGAAAAATTAGTGCACCGTTCAATTTACTGTTACATTAACAAAACAAAATATGAACAACCTATGTCTTCTGTAACAAAATCTAGCAAATAATCTGGACAACCACTGTATGTCACTGCTGCTCCATTTAACCAGAGAAAGATATTTTGAAAACTGAGCAAAGAAAATTTATCCCCGTGTTAAAACATCAAATCAAATAGTTACGAAAACATTTTGACATATATTTCTCAACCTAACATGGACATAAAAACAATGAAGTTCCAAAGAAGAGCAATATAGATATAAACATGTATATAATTAATAAAGCAACAAAATAAGATGAATTAGATAAAAACTAATTTGGTAAATTAGATAACTCATAAGTTTCCTTTTAATGCAGAACTGATAATTCTAGGTTAAGTCCAACTTATGTACAAGAATCAAAGCTATGATAGGAAATGATTACAAATCAAGATTTTAAAAATTTTATTTCAAGTCACTATCTACAAATTTATGTGGGATTGGGTTGGTCCAGCAGTTGAAGGTAACAAAGAAATTCAGAAAAGAAACATAGACTTCTAAAACTTTGATTGATTTTCAATCTTAATTTTTAAGTTATTTATCAAAATTTAATGAGCACTTGCTATATTTTAGGCACTAGGCCATGTGTCAGGGACAGAGAGATAAAACAGCTCAGTTTGGTATTAAACAGAGAGACTAATGTTTTACCCGTGAATGTTCACAGCTCATGATCCTACACTGTTTTCAAATAAGAAGATTATTGGTGTTTTAGTCAGAATAATGCTATTTTGTTATACCAAAAGAAACAATCTGTAGAATGCAATAATATACACCATTAATATCAGAGAAATTTCTATTATTCTAAATGGGAAAATAAATGTAAAAGCACTTCATAAGTTATAAAGCACACTATAAATGTAAATCATAATTTTTTAAAAGTATTTTAAGCATTCTGAGGAGAATCATTCACTAAGAAATTTGGACAATAGAAAAATGTACATTGCACAGTTATTGCCAATAAGAAATTTATAATATAGAAGAAGGAAACAATTACAAAGTGATAAGCATTATGCTACAGTCAGGTGCTACTACAGTAAATACAAAGAGGAGATTCTTCTGCTTCAGAAAAATTGGGCAAGTGGCTGATTTGGGGACTGAATGCTGGGAAGGATTATTACTTGTAGAGACGATAGAGAGAAATGATGCTAAAAAACTGAAGTCTTATTAAAACAAATCAATCTTTCTTTAATAATTTTCCTGTAGATACATATAAAATTCATTCAAAATTATGGACTAAAATAGGGACAAATTCATTATCTAAATAAGCCTTTTATTTGTATTTGACAATTTTTTTAATTTTATTTCAAAATATTAAGAGGGTACAAATTTTTTTGTTACATGGATAGCTTTTGTAATGCTTGAATGAGGGCTATAAATGTGCCTATTACCTGACTAGTGTTCATTTTAGGTTTTTATCCCTCCCCTTCTACCCGCCCCCGCTTGATTTCCAAGGACTTTTACTTCCCTCTGTGCATGTGTGCTCATTGGTTAGTTCCAATGTAACAACGAATACATGTGCTGTTTGTTTTTCCATTCTTGATATACTTCACTTAGGATAATGGTCTCTAGTTCCATCCAAATTGTTGCAAAAGGCATTAAGTCATTGTTCCTCAAGGCTGAGTAGTAGTCCATGGTATACATATACCACATTTCATTAATCCACTCATAAATTGATAGGCACTTGGGTTGATTCCACATCTTTGCAATTCTGAATTATGCCACAGGTATCTTTTTGATAAAATGATTTCTTTTCCTTTGGGTAGATACCCAGTAGTGGGATTACTGGATCACATGGTAGGTCTGTTTTTAGTTCTTTGAGAAATCTCCATACTGTTTTCCATAGGTTGTACTAATTTGCAGTCTCACCAACAATGTATAAGTGGTCCTTTCTCTCTGCATCCATGCCAGCATTTACTATTTTTAGACTTCTTAATAAAAGCCATTCTAACAGGGGTAAGGTGATATCTCATTGTGGTTTTAATTTGCATTTCTCTGATGATGTTGAACATTTTTCATATGTTTCTTGGCCATTTGTCTATCTTCTTTTCAAAAACTTCTGTTCATGACTTTTGCCCACTTTTTAATGGGGCTGTTTGTCTTTTTCTTGCTGATTTGAGTTCTTTGTAGATTCCGGATATTAGCCCTTTATTGGATGTATAGTTTGCAAATATTTTCTCTCATTCTATAGGTTGTCTATTTGCTCTGTTGATAATTTCCTTAGCTGTGCAGGAGCTTTTTAATTTAATCAAGACCCATTTGTTTGCTGCTGTAATTGTCTTTGGGGTCTTAGTCATAAATTCTTTGCAAAGAATGTAGACAATCTAGAAGAGTTTTTCCTACATTTTCTTCTAGAATTTTTATGGTTTCATGTCTTACATTTAAGTCTCTTCTCCATCTTGAATTAATTTTTGTGAGTGCTGAGAGATATGGATTCTGTTTTATTCTTCTGCATATGACTATCCAATTTTCCCAGCATTTTTGAATAGGGATTCTTTTCTTCAGTGTATGTTGTTGTCTGCTTTGTCGAAGATCAGTTGGTTGTATGTGGATGGTTCTTTATCTGGGTTCTCTGTTCTGTTCCATTGGTCTATGTCTCTGTTTTTGTGCCAATACCATGCTGTTTTGGTACTACAGCCTTGTAGTATAGTTTGAAGTCTGGTAATGTGATGCCTCCAGATTTTTCTTTTTGCTTAAGATTGCTTTGGCTATTTGGGCTCTTTTCTGGTTCCCAACAAGGCACAGAATTATTTTTTCTAGATCTGTGAAATATGATGTTGGTATTTTGATGGGGATTGCATTGAATCTGTAAATCACTTTGGGTAGTATGGATATTTTAACAAATTTGATTCTACCATCATGAGCATGATATGTTTTTCCATTCATTTGTATCATCTGCAATTTCTTTTATCAGTGTTTCATAGTTGTTCTTGCAGAGATCTCTCACCTCCTCGGTTAAGTACATTCCTAGGTATTTTATTTTCTTTGTGGCTATTGTGAATGATACTGAGTCTTTGATTTGACTATCAGCATGATTATTATTGCTATACAGAAATGTTGATTTGTGTACATTGATTTCATAACCTGAGACTTTGCTGAATTTATCAATTCTAGGAGTCTCTCGGGGGATCAACAAATATTTAATGTATGCCAACTATGTATGTAGTAGGGAGACACTGGAGTTTATATTCTAAGTGAAGGAAGATAATAAAGAAATAAGATAATTAAGCATTAAGAAGTACAATGGATAAGCATTAAAGAAGTAAACAAGAAGGAAAGATAATTGCAGGTGCTACAAGATCACCTGATGGAATACCTTGTGTGGAGGTCATGTTTCAGATAGGTTGGTCAGGAAAGTCCCTAGGAAGGAAGGGATAAATAAGCCGAAGATACAGAATGGTTAGATACTTGAAGAAAGGTGTAAGCACACTGCAGGGAGATGGAATAATACTGCAAATGCAAGACATGCAGAACAAGAAAGAAAAGAAGTAAAGCTGGAATAGAATCACTGAAAAACTTATGACCTAAGGCTTAAAAGGTACAAAAGGGCCCAGATTATGCAGAGCCTTGCTTTTGAAAAGAGTAATAAGAAATCATCTAAAGGTTCTATGTACAAAAGTAAAATTGATTTGCTTTTGCCTTGAAAAATATCATCAGTCTGACTGTTAGGTGAAGAATTATTTCAGGATTTCCATATGAACAAAATGAAATAAGAGGGACCAGATTTACCCACCTAATTTAAAAACTAGACAAAATATACGGGACAACAGTTTTCAGAGATGGGACACCAGGTAGAGTAAGATAATGATTCCTGAGAAAGAGAAAACAAATCAGAAGTCTGTAATTGCTCCTAGCTTACTGTCTGGAGAGAATATTCAAACCACAGCACAGGGAGGGGAAACCTAATTGGAGCCCAGCTGACTAGCTTTGTTGAGGAACTGGGCATCCAGGGAGACTGCAGAGGATAGAGTTCACAGGTAGAGGACATCAAAGAGAAAGTTCCAGAAATCTACAGAGGGTTCTTCTCAAGTCTTTAGTTAAATACTGATCGGCACATGCATGTGAAGTTATTACCTAAAGCTGTGAAAAGAACCCCACCCATGATGAGAAAATAGAACAATCCCATGAGATCGCACAGGGCTGGGAAAATTTTGTGTTTTCACCCACCAGAGCAGAAAACCTCGTAATTCAAGGAAATCAGGAAAGTACTCAGAAGGGTATTTGCCTTGGCAGTGGGGCAAAATTAGCCATAGACTGAAAGTTTATTGGTCCTGTTTAACAGAGTTTAAAAGCAAACCTCAATAAGATCATATTGTTTCCAAGTAATAACCTGCATCCCAGAACAAACCTTAGGACTATTTCTAGGAAAACAAAAATTTCCAGCAACCAAAAAAAAAATTCACAATGTATAGAATCCAAACAAAATTACAATGCAAAAAAGCATAAAATTACAATTCATAATGAGAAGCAAAATCAATTATTAGAAACAGACCAAGAAATGACATAGATGATGGAATTCGTACACAGGACATTAAAAGAGTTATCATAACTATATTCCCTATATTCAAGAAGACAGAAGAAAGACTGAGCATGTTTAATAGATATGTATGGAAGATATAAGGAAGAGTTAAACTTCTAAAGGTGAAAAGTACACTAAATAGGATTATCAGATTAGACAACAAAGGAGATACAATGAGTGAATTTGAAGATAACA